ACTATCTAATGAAAAACCCTAAAAAAAAATCATACCTCACGCTGCTTTTCATTCAATATTTACTCATTCTCTTTCTCTCTCTTCTCTAGTTCTCTCTCTTTACCCTCTTGTTTTTAATTCTTTTCCATTAAAATTGTTGATTGAAGCTTAGCTTGCTGAATATTCATCTCAACATTCCCAAGGTCATTTACTTGTTAATTTCATTCTCTTTACTTAATTTTTTTGTGTTTTGATACGTTTTTTTCGTCAATTTCAGTAATTTACATGTTATTATGCGTTTTGTTTCTTCTATTTCAATAATTTACTTGTTTTAATCTGATTGAAGTTTGTTTGTTTATGGGTTTATTTGTTTATGCTATTTTTTCATCACTTTGATTATGCGATTTTATTTGATTTTTTATCATCTATTTATGCGATTTACTTTGATTTTTTATGAGTTTATGAGAATATTTCAGCTTGTTTATGAGTTGATTTTTTCATCATGAGTTGGAAGCTTGGAATGGTGTGAATGTTGTTAACTAATTTTTTGCATTTTTTGTGATTTCTCTCTGCATTTGGCTTAATTATTTATTTAATTTATTTTTAATCAACAGATAGTTGACAACCTCATTCCTTCTGAACCCATTGAACATGTGAATCCGAATAAGATGATGAAGATACTGAATTATGTCGAACGCAGCAGCACCTGTTTCGATTTTAATGCCTAATTATTTATTATTTATTTGATAATACCCAGCCAGTTTATCATATTTAATTTTATTGTTGTAGGATTGTATGAAGTGTAATGGAATTATAATGGATTTATGTTTGCTTTGAATTTGTATTTTATGTTAGTTGAATGATACATGTATAAATACATGTTAAACAAATTACAAGGGTATTTTTAAAATAAAAAAAAAAACAGGTTTAGACGGGTCGGGTTCAGGTCGACTCGTTTAAAACCAGGTCGGGTTCAGGTTATTTGACCTGTTTAAGTAAACAGGTCGGGTTCAGGTTGGGGGGTCCTGACCTGTTTATGTAAACAGGTCGACCTGAACCCGACCCGACCCGACCTGTTTGCCATCCCTATTTGTGACCTCTATTTTTTTCCTTTTTTAAACCATTTGTCGTGTATTATTTGCACTATTTTCTGTGTGTTTTTTTTTTAAAAAAGTCAAATCGTGTATCTTATAGGCGAGTTTAAGGAGCAATAGTAGAAAGTAGTAAAATGTAATGGAAGTGGGGTTAGTTGAAAAATAAAAAAAAATCCAAAAAAACAAAAGTGAGTATAAGTGGAAAGGAGAGAGAAAATTAAAAATACTAAAATATGATATAAGGGGATCTAGTGAGGAGGAAAATAGTAAAATTCTAGATTAGTCTCGTGTGATGCACGATTTTGACAAATAATTTGTTAAATTTTTAACAATTGCGAAGTTATTATCACATTGAAAAAATAATATCCAGTAAAAATAATTCAATTTAGTAAAACTAATTTTACTTTAGTAAAATTAATTTCAGTAAAATTAATTTCAATTCAGTTTAAATCAGTAACTTTAAGGAATAAATGTAATAGGAAATCAATAAAAATAATTTTAATTCAGTTAAATTAATTAAGTTCAACAAAAATAATTCTAGTTGCTTCAAAAAAAAAAAAATCCAATTCTATAAAATTAATTTTAGTTCTTCAAATATAAGGTGAAGTAAATAAGGCTTAAGTTTGAATATTAATTAATATACTAATTTTTAAATTACAAAGAAAAAAACATGAAAATTACACATGCATTTTTTTTTTTTTTTAATTTTGGAATTGGAGTATTAGTGAAATAGCTGACCGAAAATTTATCATAAAACAAAAATATAAAATAATTTGATGACATCACATATACTTTAGGTTAGACCTGATCAAACATCGGGCCGGGCTGGGCTGAAGCTAAAAAATTATGCCCACTTCTCGGGCCGGAATTATTGTGCCCAAACCCGCCAAAAATGGTGGGGCCGGGCCTAAAAAATTCAACTAAATATGCATAAAAACGCATTCCCAAACCCGGCAAAAAAAAAATCGGGCCGGGCCCAACCTGATTTCAGGCCAAAAAATTCTGCCCAAAATCAAGCCGGGCCATACTTGATCAGGTCTACTTTAGGTGCAAAAAAATTCTACCATAACTTGACATGATGTTAGTGGTGGTTATTTTAGGAATAGTTGTATATTATTAGAAGTTGCCAAAAAAGAAAATGGAGCAAGTAATAAACACGGCCGCTAAAGGAAAGTGGAACAAGTAATAAAATACGAAGGAAAGTATCATTTATGTATTTTCTCCAAAAATTGTACTTCACTGCCAAAAATTGTTTGGTTGTTGGATGTCGAAATTTCTATTTCCCATGGGAAGTTCCACTTACCTAGGGGGGACTAAGTAAGTTAATTCCTTCATTTTGAGAATGTATAACTTCCTAGGAAGCCCACTTCCTATGTGTTATTGTCAACCAAGCAAGTACACGCATATCCATTTTCTAAGATTCCATGAATTTGTTTGTCAACCAAACAACCACTTAAGCATCAAAACTCTCCTCTCCTCTTTCTTCTCTCCTAAACCCCTCCATTGTTGATTTTTTGAGGGGCTTCCATTGGTGTAACCGGTGGAAAGCCCCAATCGTCCTTGTTTCGCTCTTTTTTTTTTTTTTTTTTTAAAAAAGATTTATAATAATGTTTCTTTCTTTTGAAAGGAATTTTTCTCTCTTGGAAGAAAGGGTTTCCGATCACCTTCGAAAGATAAGAATTTTACAACCTCCTTCGAAAGACAAGGATTCTCTCCTTTTTTTCAATGGAGAATTTATTAGTTTTAAATCCATGATAATAGATCTAATGGATTGTTGTGAAATTATTTCATTGGTGAAAATTTATGTAAGATCGCAAAGGTTATCAAGTTTTCAAATACAATTAGATGAACCAGGAGGAAAACATTAAGGATCGTTAGATTGTCTTTTCAACAAGGCTATATATTTTCAGCAATATAAGCGAGAAATGATTCACAGTGCAAGATCTACTCGACAATCGTAATTTTTACGAAGGAATTTTTTATTTCATTTAAATCTTATGTACTTATTAAAAACGATTGATTCAGATTGCTAAAATTAACGTACACCCGCCTTAAACAAAACTCATGTCTCTCTTCGATTTTTTTTTTTTTTATATATATATATATATATAAATTTGTATCAGTTGTAATCTTCTTATTGAGTAGGAATATTTTTTTTCTACTATAAATATTTTTTTTTGATAAATATGAGCATACTCATGTTAGATGTTTTTAGGTAAGCCTTAATGTGTATTTACAAAATTTTAAATTTTTATAATTTCTTATATTGACAAATATAAAATATTATTGTTTATATATTTAGTAATGAAAATTGTATAAAATAACAAATGATTTCATATTTTCATTGAAAATTCCTAATAAGAGTTATAAGAATTGATTAATTGATGTGGACTGTGGTATGACCAATAATATCCACTTGAATAAAGTTGAATTGTAAGAGTGAGCACCAACAAATGATTACTTTTTATTAGAAGTATAATCCTATGCATATGTGAGGTTTTTACAGAAGGTGTTTAAGAATATACTCCAAAAAATTTAATAGAAGTATTATATCAAGTCTAGATTAATTTTTTTCTTTAAAAGTGAGATACAGTACTTTAATATATACAATTAGGTTTGTTTACTCTCAAAACAAAGATCTAATCTATCAAAAAAAAATTTAAAAAAATTTAGGAAATTTACTATCTAAAAAGGGTATATTTGCTGGTGCCTATATGTCGTGTGACCCAGCAAGACGGCACTCTACTTTCTGTCTACAAAAAGCATTCCAATTTTAATGGTTTATGAATTGTGAATTTGTGATTGCCCCTCTAAAAAGCAAAATCAAAGCAGAAATAAATTTTATAATGAATTACCATTTAAAAAAAAAATATAAGTTGCTTATTTGTGGCGTAAAATCAAAACACAATTTATATATCAGTGGCAAACTTGTAAATAATTGTAATTATTACTTTTTTTTTCATTTGACTTTTTGATAAAGCTGCTAATTTGGGTGACTGGATCAGGTTAATGTGATCATCAGATCGTATCGGGTCCATTTTAAATTTGAATTATGTTAAATTTTTGCGTTCATATAAGTCGAAATCTAAATTAGCTTTTATTTGGGTAGGTTTTGGGTCAGTTTTTAAAACCTTTACCTTTTAACCTTTATATATACAACCTACAATATTTGGTTTCAAAAGTACATCCACTCTTAAATGTTCAACATGTCAATAGAAGAAACTTCATTAATAATAAATTTACTAAAATACCCTTTGTGTATCTAGTGAAATCTAAACTATCACGTGATATATATTTGCTCAAGTAGTTAGAACTTCTCTCCTAATTCCAAGAGATATTAGGATTGATTCTCATCACCTGCCCTTGTGGCTCTCTAACACAAAAAAAAAAAAAAAAAAATCCTTTGTATATACTTGAACACCCGGCCTCCATCCTAATATAACTATTAAGTTTATTTATTTATGAACTTTTTAAATAAATCAACTGTACGTTAAATATTATTTTACATTGATTTTAAAATTATTCCAAAATGTTTAAAAAATGGTTACCATGATATAATAAAATTGTCTATATTTTATTGATAAATTTATATTAATCTCTTTTGAGTAAAAATCGATAAGTAATCAAATTATTCTTAGAAAACTCATTTTATGGTCTATTTACAATAAAACCATACAAGTATTAAGTTAAAATTTCAAAATCACCTTAAATTAACTAAATGTTACCTTTAAGCTATTCCATTTACACTAATATTGTGTACACAAATTTTTTTGATTATTTATTACTATTCATATTATAACTTTTATTATTATTATTTAAAAAATCTAATCCAAAAACGACATATCACCAACCCACAAATACTAATAATAAGGTAAGAAAACAAGAAAAATAAACATAGAAAGGTAGGTCCCATAATAAAATTCATACCAGCTTTCATGGAAGCATCAGCCTGAGCAACATTCCTAGCCATAGAAGTGAGCAAAGCAATCCCATGTTCAGCAGCCGCAATAGTATTAGCCGTCGGTGCATTCACTACTAAACTCCCATGCTCCGTCGCTGCTTGAAGATCCACATTATCAATCCCAACCCCTGCTCTTCCCACCACCTTCAACCCCCCTTTCGCCGCCTCGAATACCGCTCTATTCACCTTCGTCCCACTCCTTACGATCAACGCGTCGTATTTTGTTATCTGCTTGCATAGATCCTCCGGGGTGAGGTCGTATATACAGTCGACCTCACCATACTCGCGTAAAACCGCGAGTCCTGCTTCTCCGAGTTTCTCGGAGACGAGGATCATGGGACGGTTTTGCTTCTGTACCAAACCCGTCCCATTGTTTACAACTGAAGGTTCTTTAGGTTTCGTCGACACGGGGGATGTTGTATCTAGGGTGTTTGTGTTGAGGGCGTTTTTTGTTACTAGGTTGAGATTTTTATTATTATGCTTTGATTTTGTGTAGGAGAGCTTAAGAAAATTATTTTTTGGGGATGAATTATCGAGAAAAGAGAGATTAATTTCATGAAATGATGAATTTTTTGGTTGTTTTTGGTTTTTGAGAGATGTAAATATTGATGAAGTTTTAACAGATGTAGCCATTTTTTTTTTCTGAAAATGTTGATGATTGAATGAAGGAAGAATTGAAAATAAAATATGAAGGGAAAAGAGGGAGTTTCTGAAAAGTAAAAATGGGGTGAGAGGTGAGATTTAAATTGTTGTTAATTCACCAACTTTTGGGAAATCTAATTTTGGGGATATATTTGAAGGATGGAGGTGGGGTCCACATTTATGATTAAGAATGGTGGTGGGTAAAAACTCGATGGAGTGGGAATCCTCTAACTTTAAAGGCATCAGATCATCATCCTATTTTTTAAAGTATGAATTGAAGTACTTCGTATCTAATGAAACTTTTGACTTAAAATTTGGATGTGTTCACTAGCCATGTCTAGTGTTCTTGTGTGTAGCTAGTAACATTGTATGGTCACTAACTCACTATAACACTGATTAAGTAATCTCTGTAATACTACTCGAGTAACCTTTGTAATAGTGATCGAATAACCCCTTTAACATTGACAAAGTAACCCTTATTACACTAATGAAATAATCCTATAATAGCTGGCCACACAGAATCAGCCACATATAAGAATTTGTGTAAGCATTAAATATACTTTCTAAAATAGAATTAAGCTGAGAATTTATGACAAAATCACCTGCATATCGATGTAATTAATGTTAATTAATACTTAATATTTCCTTTTAGAACTTCTTATACATGGCCATCATTTTCCTATTTTATATGAGTTTTTTTTTTTTTTTCTCCTTCCTTCCTTCTTTAAATCTTATCTTATTTAAAAAATTTATTTGTAGTTATTACTCCATAGTTCTTATTTTGTCTTACCTGAATCAATAATTACTTAATAGAAGTGAAAAATAAGGTGAGAATAGAGCCAAACTACTGTCTAAGCTCTAAATTATTGGACACAAATTGAATTTTTTACTATTCCTATATTAACTTTGTCTTTATAATTTTAATTAAGAAAAATTGTTAAAAATAAATACAAATTTTGAGCGGTCAGCAAAAAAAAAAATCAACCTTTTGTTTTGATACAAACTTTGAGGAGTATTACCTTAAACATGTTATTTTACCTGCAACCTGAATGACCGGTTAAATTTTTTTTCTTTTTAATAAATTCATTTAACAATGTAATTAACTCTTAATAACTACTTCAATTGTTGTTAATTAACAATGAAAATATTTTTAAAATTTTCTTCAAAAATAAAATATTAAAAAAAACCATTTCCTCCACCAGCCACCACCGGCGTCAGCCTCCCCCTAGTGTCGGCCATGCCCAGATTCTCCTCTCACAGCGCTGGCGCCGACCCCCCTTCCCCCGCTCGTCATCCCCTTCCCTCTTCCCCGGCGCTGGCCTGAACCACCAAACCCCCTTCCCCAAAACCCTCCCTCTGCCGCAAAACCACCAAAAACCCATCCCTTACCCTCGAAAAACCCTAACCGAACCCCTAGCGATGGCTGGGGAGGTTCGATTAGGGTTTTTGGAGGGTGGGGGATGGGTTTTAGGTGTCATTACTCTCTTGCCTCACAATAAACTACTTTGGCCACGTTACATTATAAGATTAAACATATAGTAGCGTGGCCAATTATAGAATCTTCTGAATGTATAATTTTTTTATATAATATAATTTAAAGTTATTGATAATTAAAAATATTAATGGTCAAAGTTTGGATGATATATGTGCTAGTTAAATTAGCGCACTGTTTTTGAAATAGAGGGAGTATGTAAAATGTTGTCTAGTAGTGTTCTCTTTATTTTTAGATGACACGTTTTGATTTAGAGTATTATTCATATAATAAGTTTTTTTAACACTTTAAACTCAAGAAAAAAAAAAGTTAGTTATGTGGGGACAATGTAAGATTCGTGACAATGTACATAAGAATGAACATAAAAGCTAGCGAGATAAAAAAAAAATGTGAATAGGTGGAGAGTGTGTAAGAAAAAGTTATCCCTACCTTTTTAAAAGTATGAATATACACTTATGAATAGTGTAGGGAAAATTATGCTCCTAAAAATTTTATTTATATATTTACCCCTTTTTAAAAGTATGAGTAAACTTTTATCAATACTGTTGAGACAATTATGCTCTTAAATTTTTTACCTTTTTAAAGTTATGAATATATTCTTATAAATAGTGTAGAGACAATCATGCCCCTAAAAATGTTTATTTACATATTTACGTACCCCTTTTTAAAAGTATGAATAAATTTTTAGTAATAGTGTTGAGACAATTATGATCTTAATTTTATTTTTCGTTTTTTTTTTTTTTTTTTTTTTTTTTTTTTTTACAATATTTACCCATAATTAAATATATTTGCTCTATTTCATTGTAAATTTAATTAATTATTTCTCTTTATTTTGAAAAATCATAAATGTAAGTTTCAATCACTTTGAGAAATTATGCAACAAAATCTATGCTACTTCCAAAAATCAAAAAACATTTTGCGACATATCACTTTGTGGTATTATTATAACGTTGACATCAACCTTGTTACTCCCTTTGTCCCAGAAGACACATTCAATATTACACACATGTTAATGTACTGCACTAATTTAACTTTATTTTTATATAACTAAATATTAATAAAAAATATTATAAAAATTATATTATGAAACTTTATACTAATACCTATCTAATACGGTAACATATTTAATAATAAAATATTTTTTTTTTATTATTATTATGTTAGTATAAATTATGGTCAAAGCTAATACATGAATAGTGAAAAAGTCCAACGTTCTAGATATTTTGGGATGGAGGGAGTATATCTAAAGAATGTGTAATATTTTGAATAGAGTTTGGACAATTATACCTTCTAACATGTTTATTTACTTATTTGTCATCATTATTGTTATTAATTGCCTTAATTTGAACTCTTAAGAATGGTGCATAAATGTTTATACCTAGAAAAAATTATTTACATATTTTGCCTCATTAATGTTACTAATAATAATTGAAAAAACTTTCCAGACACAACTAGCTAGCTATGATACACGCATCGTGAGCGTTAGCCACCCTAATAATATTCAAAGTGTATGTCATGACGGATCTTGAAATTTTATGTAGATTGGGGCAGATTTCTAAAGCTTATTCATACATCAACTTAGATTTATTTAATTTTTGATCTTTAGGACAAAGAATAAGAAAGAAAGATAAAAAGAATTGAATTAGTTAAGAAATAAAAATAAATAAGTGGGCTGCTGCTGGTTTTGAACTTCTAACCTACATTCAATGAGATCTAAGCTAAAACCAAATCAACCAAGTTACCTTGTTTTTTTTATTCTAGTGTAGCTTAAACTTCTTAAATTTTTTTTGGATCATGGGGCAGGTCGTGACCTTGGCTAGCTGGCCACCCCCTGAATTTGTCTTTAGTAAAAAGATTCATAAAGTAAAGAAGTGTACAACAAAGCTTAGATTCGGGGTAATAAATTAAGGGAGTTATAAAGTCAAACTAAGAAAAAATTAAGATTAGAAGTGATTAGAGGAGATGTTATTTGAGAGATTGTGATTACAAATAAAATAAAGTGATTGTGACATGAAGATTGAGGATAAGAGAAAGATGGAGGGATTATTACCTTCATAGTGAGGTTATGATGGTAGTAAATACTAAATACCCACCCTCACCTTACGATACTATTACCCCCAAAATAAGGGATAATAGTTCCTTTATTTTATGCACCTCTCACCTCACTATCACTGCATAATCTCCTTACAATTACACCATTACTATCTCATTTATCTTAAAACTCGCTTTCATTTTCTTTAGTTTGACTTTTATACCCTATCAATGCATTACTCTCAATTCAAACATGACCTAAGTGAAAATATTGTAGGGGTAAGAAAGGTAAGATGGTAAAGAAATTTGTCAGAAATGGAAATATCTTAATTAAGAACGTTATAAGACGGATAAAAAAGGATATGATAAGAACATTATTATCTCTCTTACTTTATCAAACTTTTTTCTTACACCTACTTATCACACCAACACTCTGTCTTCAATTGTCTAAATTCTTGTAAGAATAGTAGATGTTAAGACCGTATAGGACTGAAGATATACTATTTTTCACTATTATAAAGATTAAAACCATATATGTTATGTCAGATGTATGTTCTAGGATTCGTCTTAAAATGAATTTTCAAAATATGAATTTTTAAATTTTTTACTCAAATTATAATGAATATATGCATGATCAAAGATGTACATTGGAGACAATAAATGTTAAACAGTAACCATAGAACAGAGACAATGAAGTAATATCTACTAAAGATAAATATCGAAAAATATATGTGAAATAAATGGAAGTAATAGTATCTAATTAAATCTTTCTTGATATGGTCTCATTTGTTAGACTTTATGAGAATAAGTAATTATTTTCTAGAATAAGATAAATAAACAAAAGTTGTACTATGCTTAGAAAAAAATTAAAATGCCATAGATGGTTGGAAAATTGAATCTGGAAGTCAAATATGACTTAGGTCGCGTTCTTTTCACCAAACAATAATATTTAATAAAAAAATAAGTTCAGTTCACCAAAAATAAGTTCAAACCAGTACAAAAATAAAGTAATTTTATTTCAGTAAAAATAATTTCAGCTCGGCAAAAATAATTTTAATTTGATTAAAATAATTTTAGTTTAGTTAGATGAAAAAGATGATAGAGTTATGAAAAAAAGAATTTTAAAAAGCTTAATTATATTGATGAGTGTACAAGAGTATTTATTGTACATAAGTAAGCATTAGACGATGACTAGATACATTAGAGTATATGTCTAGGTACATTTGACAATCAACCTAATTGTGTAAATCAAGGAGTAAATCAAGGGATAATGATATTGATGATATCAATATCCTTTACATGCTCTTGCAAGACGGACGACGTCCGGACCGACCTTGGATATAATATCGCAAATCTTGTTCATGTAGGAAGTGAAGTGTAGGTGAGAAGGATTGCGTAGTATTGTAATTCTCTGAGAGGGTTTGGAGAAAGGATATAATATGAAAAGACAATGTATAGAGTCTTATAAGTGTGATTTAGCGGCAAAAGAGTATCTATACTACGTATTACTTCATCCATTCTTTTTTACTTAACTTACTTTGACTTTTACACTATTCACCATCCCTCCTTTGGCCGTCTTTTGTGAATAATATGTAAAGAAAAACATATTCATGTGTGATCTTTTTAAATTCGTCTCAATAAATATTATCATAATATATATAAATTTTATAATTTTTACTTA